GAGAGAGAGAGAGAGAGAGAAAGAGAGAGTGTGTGCGCGCGCACACTTGATTATAATATACCTCGCTCACTCAATACAAATACATTTCGGAAATACTGTCAGATCTGCTCTAACAACTACTTATACAAGACAATTGCCTTTTTATTGCGAGGAAAAAAAATTACGTTTTAGTAGACGATTTTATTTTACGACGCTCGCAATTGCATAAGGTCTTATGAACGCACCCCCCCCCCCAACAAAAAAACCCAAAAAACTATAAAAAAAACAAAAAAAAAAACATGCAGCATGAATGCCATCTACTCAAATGATAAACATTTCATGATACAAATCAGGTCAAGAATGTCTTAACCTCTGCCAGCACTTTTTTATGACAGACGGGACAATTGTTGCAGGATGTGCTGCATGAGCTGCAGACGGCGAAATGTCCACACGGCAGGAAAGTCGTCTCTGCATGTCTCTCCGTGCACACGGCACACGTCATGCGGCCCCGGAGGTAGCCATGTTCTCGCGACACCACATCCTTCAGACTCCCGCGGGCCCTCGCCCTCTCCCTCTCCCTCGCCCCCTCCCCCTCCCTCTCCCTCGCCCCCTCCCCCTCCCTCGCTGCTGGGGTATGCTGCGAGGAAGGTGCTCCGGCTGGACTGTTTCCACTTCCAGTTTCCCTTCCCGCAGTGGGTGCTGATGCTCCTTTGTTTCTACTGTCTTCCTCATTGCCGGCCTCCGCATGATTTTCTTTTCTTGATGTCTCTGCTGCGTCAACCGTACTCTCTGCCCTGACGTCATTAGAATTTCTCTTGACGTCATCGGGAATTCCCCTGACCTGTTGGGGTTTCCCCGCTGAATCCACGGACGCGCTACTGCTATGTCCTCTTGTTGAACCTGACGCAGTTGAACCCCTCGCTGAAGCCGCTGGGTTTGCTTCTACTACTGTCCCCCTCAGCTCCTGGACATGACGCGGATGGTTCTGCGGTTCCGTTATCGAGGCTCTACCAGCCGGGCCAGAAGGTTGAACTTTGACCTCAGTCGGGCGATTGATTAAAGACCCAGGTTGGTGTTCATTGTCAACGACGTCCGGGGCTTCAGCAGAATTGTTCCCTGACCGTTTTGTATTGTTTTGAAGTGCCCCACCCCTCCCAGTTCGCTCCCCTGATTGTTCAGGAAGTTCTTGAACTGATTTATTGGAATCAGGCCTATTCTGCTGAGCTGAGAGTAGCTTTTTGAAATATGGAAGATTCTGGAAGCCTTGGTGGTCGTTGCACAGTTGTATGAAATCGCCAACGATCCTCTCTATCTTATAGCCAGAGTCGATGATGCAATCAAGAAGTTCTGCGGAGTTTGGATAACGTTGGCTGCGCACCACACACATTCGCACCGCAGTTTGGAGGAGTTCCTTCTGGTGCGGAAGTGCGTAATCGTCTATATCACACTCCACTGCCAGGTAGGAGGCGGATCGGAAAAAAGAGCTCTCTATTTTGACAGATTGAAGAAGTTTATACACTTTTTGTACGGTTCTTCTGGACTTTTCCTCCGAGTGGCTCGGGCGTGCAACGGTCGAAGATGCGAGACTTCCTGGCGAGGGAAAGGCAGCCCCAAGAGTGGACCGATTTTGTAACTTCGGGGCTGTGCCTGAGCTGGTATCCTCTGATCGTAAGCTTTCACTACTTCCAGGTAAAGAAGCGTAGGATGCCACATTACCCAGAGACGCCGAAGAAGCACGCAGAAAATCCTCCGGCCTCGTGATTTCTTCAGACATTTGCGAGAGGGAAGCGGTGGCAGATAAGGATAACGAGCTGAAACACGGAGATGCTGAAGGGCTGTGACTCTGAGAACGCCAGCAAGAAGAAGAAGACAAAGAGCTTTGGGGGTGAGAGTCCGAAAGGGAGGACGACACCGTGTTCTGAGTCCATGCAGCTCTGGCGTTTGGCGTAGGCGGCTGGGTTGAGACGGCGTCATCTCTGTGTGAAGTCCGGAGTGCTGACTGCTGGACTGACCGATGCTTCTGTCTCCTCGGCCATTCTTTTGGTCGCACATCAGGCCTGGCCCCGGCTGGTGTCTGTGTCTGGCTTGGGGCTGGCAACTGATCCGGTTCTGTTGCAGACGGGTAACTGGGTCTGAGCCTTTTTGGTCCCTCCTGATGCGATGGTTGGAGCTCTGTGAAAGGAAGAGAAGGAACGAATGCACAACAATCGATCATGAACAAGAGAATTACATATTATTATGCAGAAAGACATATTATTATTAACGCACGACTGCAGTTTAAATCTACTCCGTTAAAACAAAAATTATCTTCAATATACTGACAATATACTACGATGTTTCAAGAGACGGTGGTCTTTTCATGCCAAATAGTCGAGCCTACAATAAAGCACTGGTTCTTGCCTCTTTCGGCTGTGATCAAAAATTTCTTTCTGGATTCAATCCAACATTCACTGTCCAAGGACAATTATGTCATAGGATTGGAGATCTCCTGCCCGCTCCCAGAGATTCACGAAAAATATGCACAAATATTTTTTCATGATTCAGATATGGAGGTGACTAACAGATTGCACCAGTTTAATGACCTTCAAGACACTGTTCTGTTAGACTTTCAAAACCAGCTGCACACTATTAACAATTATGTGCAATCTTTTAAATCAGCTATTGAAATATGTAGAGAGGACAGTGAAGTTCAAATTGTTCTGCTTGCTGACAAAAAGCAACAACATGGTCACGCAAGAACGTACAATTTACCAGCAGCAAGTAAAGTTGCAGCGATTTTGCCGGGAAATGTTTCAGGCGACTTGGACACTATTCTTAGGTGTAGGTCGACCGATGGGCAAGAACTCAGAAGAATAAGCACCTGCCATTGTTCATATGACCCCCTGCATTAGACTGTGATGCTTCCTTTATGGATGTGTTGGTTAGTATTTAAATATGAAAAAATCCAACAACAAAACAAACTCAGCAGCTGATTTTTACAGCTTCAGACAACAGATTAGGGCAGATGATTTCAATATGATCATGAAAATGCGAAAACTCATTCAGCAGTAGGCAGTAGATCAGTAGGCCAAAATAGAGAGTAGTTCTGGATTGGGCATGCCACAATCAGAAAACTATCAGAGGTGAAAAATATCAGGGATTACAATTATATGTATACGTGTTGTTTCTTTCCTGTTTTCAGTCTTTTTCCTCTTCTTAACTTTCCTATTATTACTTCTTCATTATTATTCCGTTCGTAGAACGGGTACTTTTAGT